TGGCTTACCATGTTTTGATGGTAGAGTGTGGGACCACCCAATAGGCACCTAACAAAAAGGATAAGTCATGTGCGTACGGAATGACCGAATCAACGGCCCATCATTCATTTTCAAAAAATGACGGTTAAGATCATATTGTTTCATCTAATTCTAAAGTTGTGAACCCACGTGAACGTGACTCACTTGAGCACGGCCGTTATTTGAGGTACAAAATTTCAGCCTTTGATCCTGAAGTATGTGTTTGTTTCGTGGTCCACCGCTTCCCTGGGTTACATGGAAGTGATGTCTTTTTAAATTGTGTTTTTAAATCCACTAAAAGCAAAATAGCAGCCTCCACTCGCATAACAAACACGGGAGTGCGACAATTGTAGAAGCCGTTAAATTTCAGCTTTTGATCTTTGTATTTGTTTGGTGGGCCATCGCTTCCCTGAGTTAAATAGAAGTGATGGTTTTTAAAATTAGTTTTAACGCCATTGAATGCAATGGTTTCGAAATAGTAGCTTTTACTCACATAACAAACATGGAAGTGCTACAATTGTAGAAGACATTGTTTCTGCAAAATAACACGAGAGTGCTACAAATTGTAGAAGCCGTTGCTTCCCCGAAATAGACGTGCCCCCAACTTCAACTCATGACCAAAAGGAAGGTACTCGTCCATCAAATATCGCTTCTTTGTGTTGAAATGCCAATTCTGACTGGAACTTGGTATTCCGGTCAAATGCATGTACTCCACTATCAATAATGTTTTTAAATTGCTATTGTGATTGTAGGACATTTTCAAATGAGAAACGTAGGACATTTAAACGCGCTTTTAGAAGAAAGTTCTCATTTTGCCATTTTTCAACATATTTGAACCTACCCCTCTGGAAAAGCATTAAAAGAGGGCCTACGGCCTGATCCATGCAAATGCAACAACAAGTATTTACCGAGTCTCATAAGCTCCCTAAGCTAGGGTAAAATGGTGTGCCTTGAAATTTTCTTAAATAAGATAGTATAAATGGTGAAGTATATGTAAGGCCTAGGTTTTATGAAAACAAAATAAAGCCTCACCTTAAATCCTCATCCAAAAAGCACTTTCGGCAATAGAAATCTTCATCACGGCTCTAAAATCAATTTTCAATACCGACAATAAAATTTGAAGCTCAAAAAGTGGTACGGATCATGCAAATCTATGAACACTTGTTTTTAATTTGTTACAATATACAATGTTTTTAGAGCTTGAAATCGTAATTTTTTTTACAACCATAACATTCAAACAGAGATGATCGATTTAAAAGTTTTCCAATACTTGAATTGCAATTTTCGATGAGTTATAAGGTGAGGTTTTACTTATTTTGATAAGGCAGTCCCTATCAAACCATCTTCCTAGTATAAAATGGCGTTCCTAGACATTTTCTTGAACTTGGTTGTCTTATATGAATCTATTCCTCCAAAAACTCATATGAACTCTCTCTCTCTCTCTCTCTCTCTCTCTCTCTCTCTCTCTCTCTCTCTCCCTTCTCTCTCTCTCT